AGGCATAACAACAGCTGGTGTTTCTTGTGAGGGTTTCCCCGGGAAACAAACACAATACACACAGATGCGTCACAGATTATTTTGCGGTATTTTTTTTTTTTAATTAATTTTATTAATTACTTTGTTTATAAATTAATCTGAGGGCCGCAAAAAGAGGAGGTGGGGGCCGCCATTTGCCCATCCCTGGTGTAGATGAAGGATGTGTCAGGATGTAGAACTCTTGTGTGAACATTGGATAAACAAGCCAGGTTCATATTCTTGTTTCGTGTTGTTGACATATTAGTCAAAGGTTTGCACAGAGCGAAATATCTTTGTGTTGCGCCATAAATCAGAAAATACTGCATTAAAAAAGTAATTTCCTGTTTTTCTACTGATAAAGTGTGATATAAATAATGTACAGGCTTTCAGATTGCTGTAGTTCACTAAAAAGAGACATTAACGACATGTTTGGTGTTGAACATGTCCGAAGAAACAAATGAAACAATGGGAGATAAATATCCCCAAATCTCAAAATTGTATTATATTGTGTGTGTGTTTGTGGTCCTCTTTCAGTTGAGACACTGTAGGATGCTTCCGGAAAAGACCAAACACTGGATGTCTTTTAGGAGCCAACATGTGTTTTCGAGACAATGATATTAACGGGGAAATCCTGCAGGACTCAAATGCCTCGTATGCCTGTATTAACCAACAATCCAATCTGTTCCTTTAACTTATAGGTGTTAATTCTGGATATGATTGTTTCTTGTTGATTAAAGGTTTCCAGATAACCTCATTATTAGCTAGTCCCTTCAGGGATCTTTGGTGTAAAAATATAAAGTTAACATTTGCTGCATCATTTTATGGCACAACTTCAGAACATGTTACCTGTAAGATTTTTTTCTGGCTGGCAGGCAGTTCTTGTCTTTCATCATGCATGAAGGGTCAAAAGGGACAGGAAGCAGCAGGGTTTATGGGAAATGTGGTCTTAATTTAGAGAAATCTCAAGCAATAAAAATACAACTGCTGTTCATGTCATTCCCTGTCTCAGTTATCCATAACGCATATACTTTAAGGCGACAGAAAGAGTTACATTTCCTGAACATTTTTCATTTAAACCGCACATTTAAATTTGATACTAAAAGTAATAATTACACGACAAGAAAAAACGTTTGACCATAATGTAAAATGTGCAGCAAGACTCATGCAAAGGTGCTTACATTTGTTCAGACTGACTTCAGTTTGCACATGGACTTTGCTCAGTGCAAAGTTCACATAAGTGTAAATATTGAGCTTATCACTTTTTGTTATCCTAAGATTAAAGAGGTTATATTTTCCTAAATATGACCTACATTGCTTAGCCTTGAAAGGGGAATTACACTAGGTTTTTTTTTTTAAAATAACAATGAAGCAAAGCTGGTCACTGTAGTTTTGTCAAACAGCAAGAGGAAGTAGTGCACAGTTGGGGACTATTTTCAGTGGGGGAGCTACACATTTGAGGATCATGTATTTCTTAATTGTTACATAATGACATCACTATGTAACACTTGCGTTCTATTGGCTATCGCTCCAACACATTTCCCACACATCCATTAGTGGTTGACCAATTATAACAGGCTAGCTAACCAATCGGAGCAGACTGGGCTCTGGTTTCAGACAGAGGGTGCATAATGCACAGGCAGTATGAGAAAAATGAAGAGCTTTTTTTAACATTAAAGCATGTACAAATGTCATTTGTAGAGGCACAAAATACAAATATGAACCTGAAAATGAGCAGAATAGGGCCCTTAAAAAAAGAAAACAGAATCGCATTAGTTTGCGGCCGGTGCTGCCTCCCCCCCTCTCTCTCGCCCTGTGTTAATATATACTGTTGCGTTAAAGAATGGCCACAATGAAAGAGACCCCAGGAGACACAGACAGAGAGGCAGCCGCAAACAGAGCACTGCCAGACGCGCGGTGGTGCCAAGTCCTTAGATGAAAGCAAAGCATCACCCCTTTGTCCGAATTATAATTTTAAGACTTCCTTTTCTATATTAGTATATAGAACTATATATATACAGTATATAAGCCCTCCCGTGTTGCATGTTTTTTCCTTGAGTCTATCATTAAGTTGGTCTGAAAACTGCCTGAAATGGAGTCATCGTTTTGCCTAATGAAGTGATTCTTTAAACCAGCAATATCTTTTTTTTTTGCGATACTGGGGCAGCAGTAACAATTTCTTATTGACAATTTACATTAGAATGGTTAAGTTGCAAGAAAAAGCTTCTAATTGCACATCCGGTAGTTTAAGACGACATATTCTGAAAATGTTCATGTTGATATGTCTCCATACTTTAATGTTCAAAAAGCTCTTTATTTCTGCAGCACCTCTTTTCCCCCTCTGTCTGAAACCAGAGCCCAGTCTGCTCTGATTGGTTAGCTGGCCGGCTCTGTTGTTATTGGTCAACCACTTAGAGATGTCGGGTCCCCTTAGCCTATCAAGTACAATGTGTTAGAGCGCTAGCCTATACAAGCGCAATTGTTACATAGTGAGTAAATTATGTCACAGAAGAACACAGGCGTTTCAGGCAGTGTGTGGAAGAGAGAAAAAAACCGATATAACACACAGCAGATAAACACACACATTATTATTGACCTTATCCAACTATCAGATTTGGCCTCGCCAGAGTTAGAAATCCTGGTTAAACTACCTATTTTACAAAGAAATCACATAAAGAATTGGGGCACAAAATATTCATATCGGATGGCTAGGGTCCTTCCCTTAGAGTGCAAGCCTCTGTTTCACGGAAAGAGAGCAACAAACGTCCCTCTTCTCTTGCAAACATAAAAAAGAAAAATCAATGACAATTCCTGAATGTGTTTTCATTCCATCTCACCATGATATCTATTGACCCACCACAGCCAACCCACAATGAAATGTTGTGCTTTCTAGAATTAGGGTATTCTGTATCGGCGCCTGGTATGTACCTGTAGGTGAGGTCTGTCTTCTCTAAACGTCCTCCGTACAGGACGAATCGTCTCTGTCGCCCCCGATAATGCACCTCCTTATGGGCGGGGTAGTCTGGTACTCCACAGCGTGGTCGGTTCCATGTGTTAGAGGTGTTGGCCTGCAAACTTGTCTCCTTTACAAAGTCCTGAGTGTGAGAAAGCTTCCCCCTCTTCTTCAGGTCGGGGAACTTTTCAGACAACTGTAAGAACAATAGTGGTCAACAGATAGTTGTTTTTAACAAATAAATTAAACACGTAAATACTTTGAAAAATATGTCACTGTGTGTCATCTATTTGTCTTTTGTGCGTGTAGTGGCCAATTATGCAAAATACAAAGTTCCAAGGGCACTAAGCCTACAAGGCGAATTCGAGTGTTCACTGCCGTTTAAAACATCCAAATACCTTCAATGAAAACCATAGTCCCAGGTATGCGTCCTGAGGGTTTTATTCACTTACTATTCCATAGATCTGTTGGCGGTCCACTACCGACTTACTCTACAACACTTTTAACTGCATATAAATAAATACACAGGCATGTGGACACGTCCGGGCAAAAACGTTTTCAACTACGTGGTAGACTTCCAATTGTGGTAGTGGTAGTGGTAATGCGTCATTTTATACTCATAGACTTGCGCACTAGAGTCTGCTTTTCCGTAAACAATAACAAACATAAACCTTGAGCAGTCCATAAACAAACAAAACGGTTTGTTTATAACTCTATTATTATCCAATTCATTTAATCTCACCAAACATAAATATTTACCATAAATATCAATACGCCTGACTGGCTCTTACAGTGCGGTATTCCTGTATGGTGGCCGACAAAAAACGCGCTACAACGGCCCAGAACATTTCAACTACGAGAAATTCGCTGCACTTTCCAAACGATGCAAATAAATAAACATCATTTAGCCAAAACACATGCAAATGAAGAAACTTCTTCACCAACTTCACAAAACATGCGCATTTTACAAAAAACGCTGCATAAACAAAAAGGTGCTAATAAAAAAAACTCTGCAAGAAGCTCAATACACAACAGAAAAGGGGACAAAATAGCAACAAACAAAACTTATGTATGCTTATGGTCAAATAAGCTCACTTTTATAAAAAGAGGTACCAATGAGCCTCATAACTGTCGGTTTCCACATGGATCAGTTTTTATTCTGAGACAGGAGCTTCAGTTACAGGTGTCACAAGCAGCAACTAGCCTTCTCAATTTTGGACAATTACTTCCATCAAAATGCACCACGGTTAAACTTGAAATGAATTGAATTAACCTTAAAAATGTCACGGTATTTAAATGCTAAAAATGTTAAAGATAAAAGGTTTAAGTGGAAGAAAAAAAAAGATGAGGGGGAAATTACAAAGAGAAATCATCATGAAGTAAATACAAAAAAAGGGAGAAAAAGAAAGTATACGAGGAAGTGAAGGCGAATCAGCTTCATTTTGGACTCTGGAGGAACACACTCAAAATCGTATTTCCCCGGTTTAAGAGATTACTATCAGTTACACCCCCACCACTCCCCCAATCCAGAGGAAATGGCTCTGCTCATTCCCACTGGCGCAAATTACAGAGGAGCGCCTCCTCTGTACCACATCTGCAGTGCTACACCACTGCTGGCATTTCCTTTCCTCTGCCACTCAGAACAACCTGTTGGGAAGACGCTGTCAATTTCTTTTGTAGAAATTAAATAATCAGTTTCAGTGGAGTTCTTTATTTCATAATCCTGTGAGGATTTTAGCTGATATAGATATTTTTCTGAAAAAATTGCAGTACCAAAGATGTCCATGATAATAGATTAATTAATTAGATTAATTAGTGGAAAGCTATATGTACATTTACTATTCAAGTAGGCCTAATAATTCAACATACTTCAATTTTAATAGATAGATTTCCATTTTGTTCTACTTTTATTATTATAATTTATTTATACTTCTTTTGATTTTTTTACTACTCAACTATGGAAATTAATTTATAACTTTGTTTTAAAAATACCAGGTAAATATAGCTTATTTTCAATATTTAAATGACTATTATTATGAATTCCCCCCCCCCCTTTGGATTAGCTGGTGAAATAATCAAAATAGTTGTACAAAGGGTACAAAAATGATTGTATTTCAGGACAAACTTTCCCACAACCAAACCCAGACATGTCTTGACTTATAGTTTGAATAATTACATAATTTCCCCAAATCTACGGTGGCTGACCTGTGAAAACATTGGTCCCTGTTGGCCACCGTACAACCATCAAATAAAAGAGTTTTCTAAAAAGTAATGTGACCTCATTTATGTGTGAACAAAAATATGTACGCGGATGACATTTAATAATAGATAGGCCTTTCAACTCTTCAGACTTAAAACCAAATATTTGACATGAACCCTACAAAAACGCAAACCCAATTCACAAGATCAAAATATTAAAAAAATAATTGTCATTGTCATCATGTTTTTCAGTTGTGTTTGAACGAGGCTGCCTCACTCAGCTCTACATGACTCAAACTGTGTCGTTGTTGTAGGTGAAGGGGAACAAAACCCAGCAGGATTCATGGAATGTGCTCCAGACTGCAGAAACACACAGTGACTGATGGGTCTGGATCACAGAACCCCCCCCACCCACCCCCTGTGTTTAACTTTGTTTAAACGACATGTAAGCTGCTTGTTTTGTTGCACAAAGCACTTACCCGCATCAGGGGGGATGTTTCTGCTCATTCCCTACGGTTTTCTTAAATGGCTTGTTAGTGTTGTAATGAATGGGCCTCAGAAAAATGGCTGCTTGTTTGCATGGCAGCTTATTTCTTCTGAAATCTGATCTAAGGGGCCTGTTATCTGTCGTTCTGATAACAAAATCCTCAGATAAACAACAAAGCCCTTAAAACAGGTCTGACATGTATCAATCGAAAGCCTGTAGACATGAAACTGCTTGTCTGAGTACACAAGTACAACATTTTATACCCTGGGGGTATCGGCTCTATATACTGTAGGTGAGCCTATACAGGCCTGCTGGTTCTATTGAGGTCACTGAGTTCATGCCCCAGTGTTGTTCATCCAAATCTGGATTTTACTGATCAGAAGAAAAACAAATATAGATGTGGATTGGCGTCATAAGATGTTTAGACTAGGTTCTGCACTGAAACGAAAATGAACTCCCTTTGTTCAAGTGAAGTTGTAGTTTGTTGTCAGTCCAAAATGTCCTTATTTCATCCTATTAAGATTTGGGTGAAATTGCCATAATTAACATATTCATTATTCAGTACAGCCAAAAACACAGGAACAATTTTGCATTTTACAACTTCCGGTTCCCTCGTCTCAAAGTCAGCGGTTTTTGGAACTTGTTAGTGGTTAGAAGCCTAAAATAAGGTGTGTGGTTAACACAAGCTAAAGAGAGGTTCACGTTGTGTTGTACAACATCAAATATGTCAGTAATTACCCCACTTGTGAATGTCCGAAGCTTCTATGTGTCTTCAAAAAACGTGGTTGATATCAAGTAACTAATTGAACCACTAAATGTCATCACAAATAATATCGCCCTTAGCTTAGTGGTGGCGACTGTGATGTAATTTGTTTATGGCCTAGCCCTACTTCTGGCGATTGTATTTATGCTTCAAAAATCACAATGTGTGTTTCTATGTGGCGGTTATCACCCTGAACTACCGTAAATGTTTAAGTATCATAAAGGTGTGTTTGCCAAAAAGCTTATTTCCGGCAACATTCTGAAAACCAATGGAAATTCCCATTGTTTTGTCTGGGTCGGCCTACATAAATACAGTATGTCATCACTGCACCACTCTATATTCAATCGTTGTTCCTTTCACTCTAAAGGAATGATAAATCAGGGAGACTCTGATCCATAGTAACTGTTAGCAGAGTAAGCATTACGTTCATTGCTGTTTAGCATCCAAATAAGCGGAGGAATAACGAAGCATCCGAGACAGTGGCATTTCCTTCAACGGGCCCTCCCATTGGAGGCGTGGCTTTATTTATACCCATCATTGAACTTTAATCTGATTCGCTATTGGCTTCCAGTTATGCACAACAAATAACAAACACATATACCTGAATGTTAACACCCCCACTTGATATCACATTTGTGGTCTTTTAACAAATAAAAACATTATAAGGTTCTCTCCCTTACAGAAATGATTATTCAAGCTTACAGGCATTATTACTCTCCAAACATCAACTTTGCAAACTTAATCAACTTAAATTTCGGTGCAGATTTTGTCATAACATCTGCTACCATCTAGTCTGTTGGACAATAAATCAGATGTATTTTTCCCCCTTCCACAGTTGACCTCAGAAAATGATACTTAATGTCAATATGCTTGCATTTCTGTCTGTTAACAGGATTCTTTGCCAACGCTATTGTGCCCTGGTTGTCTTCGTAAATCGTAGGTAGTGTATATTCACATTTGTCAATGCCCTCTAGTAGTTGTATTAAGTGCATACACTCCTGCATAGTAGCTGCTAAAGCCATATACTCTGCTTCACAAGTTGATAAAGCGGCAGTTGGCTGATTTTTGATTTTCCAGGAAACCACTGGCCCGCTCTCATTAAGGCTAACACAATAACCTGACATACTACGTCTGTCGGTTAGATCAGCAGCCCAATCTGCATCGTTGTATGCTTGTAAGCCCAGTTTTTCACTCTTACATTTCCGGTAACACAGTTCCCTGTCGATGTTAACAGTAACATTGAAATTATTTGTGTAAACCCAACATACTAAATGATCATTTAGGCAGATATTGTTCAAGACCAGCCGCTAATCGGGAGCACCCCAATGATAATCGAAAGCAACAAGTTGGACCTAAATAATGGCCAATTGTTCTCTAGTGTGGGGCCATCCCTATTTATAATTTACACAGCTTTACCAGACTCCTACTGCCCTCTGTGTAACGTCTCCTTAAAGTTCCAATTAAATCCAGACTGCTAATCTGGAATCAGTGGTAATTTGAATAAAATTGATTATGTATCACGTGACAACAATATAAAGTTAAATAATAAAACTCTTTTAATGATTTGACAGGGTCCCTCTACATGTAATGGTCACATCATCAGAGGGGAACGTTCTGTGGTGCAGCTAATTCATTAAATTATTATAATAATAATTGACATTCTGTGGACTTAGATTTAAGGGCCCTTTTTTCGAGTTGTTGGTGCCATATAATGTTAACATGGGCCCTTTCAGGTCGTTGAAAAATC